GGGAGTCGCAGAGAGTGCCAATAATCTTGCAGAACTTGCCAAGGGCCAAGGAAGCAGATGCACAGAGGTCTGTGTTGCTGTGCAGCTAGGGTTGTTGCACATTTTAAGTAAGAGGAACAAAGGCAGCCGGTCCCTGTTTGCCATTCAGCAGTTCCAGCTCACGGATGCCACGGATGAGCTCTGCCACTGTGTCATCAGCCGTCGTCCCGGTTATCCCCAGCTCCTCCTCCATGGTGGTCTCAGAGCCTGAGTTCTTCTCCTTGGGATCTTTGGTTTTGTGTGCCTGTTCCTCCTGAAGAACCCAGTGCTGACAGAGCTCTCCATTCACTGCCTGCTCTAGGTGCACCAGCTGCTGGAGAGCCACAACACCAACTGGCAATAGGAGGTGCATCAGGAGGAAGGTGGGGAGCACGGCACAGTCTGTTCAGGGTTGTCCTGGCTGCAGCTCTTCTACTCCAGCTTCTCCAGAGCCTGCTTGGCACAGCTCTGCAACATCTGGACACAGATCACTTCGGGACCCTCCGCCAGCTGCTAGATGAGACTCACTGCCGTCTCCTTGAACGGGATCCAGAGTGGGTCTGGGGGGGCAAAGCCTGTTGTGACCAGGTCCCGGGGTCACTCAAACAACCCATGTTTGTAAGGCAGCCTGAAGAGAGGGTTGCATTTGCCCAAGGAAGGCTTGCTCCTGTCAGAGATATTGGTGATGGCCTAGAGCACCTGCTGGGCCAGGCTGTAGTCCTGCAGAGACTTCCTGTCCAGCCCTATGCTCATCAGTGTCTAAGTTGCTTCCCACTATTTCTGGTTTTCCTCATGCCAGCATGCCCAGAAACATGACAGAGGAACAGTGCTCCAGAGCAGAGTAGGGCACCTGCCTGGTGGCCTGCTCCCATAGCAGCTGAGTCACTGCTGGTTTCAACTCATCCTTCTGAATAAATTCACAGAGACTTTCCTCAAGACACTGAATGGTCTCAACAGAGGCTTCCACTAACCGTAAAAAGAGATTCTGAATCAAAGTGTGGGCCCTGGCTCTGGCTGAACCCCTTTGGGGCTGAGGTAGATCTGGTGGTAGGCATTCAGCACAGCTTCCCAGACACCAGGCTCCTTGGGCCGGATGAAAGGCAATGTTTGGAGAAGCCCGAACAGACCTTGGGCTACCCAAGCTGGAACACCATCACAGAGAACTCAATCACCTCCTGTACCACTGTCCTTGTGTTTTTATACATCATCTTGTTAATGATGCCGATGTCCTCTGTGATTCTCTGGGGGAAGCTGCGGGCATCCTGTAGGTATTGTACCAGCCTCTCCTGCTTCACCAGCTCATCCCTGCCCCTGACACCCTCAGGCTCTGACACAATGGGAGTGTCTGTGGCAACAGTCTGTCCTGGGATCATGCTCCCATTGCAGCCCTGTGTGAAAGCTGCTGGGCATGTGAAGATAATTCCTAAGAGATTCAGGAAGCCAGTCTCCTCTAACTCCCCTGGGTCTGTTTGAGCAAGAATGGTGGCTGCTTATATCTAGTTTTGGCCAGTAGTTTACAGATTCGACCTTTCACCTCTTCCGAGGTCTCTGCAGCAGTGATTTCCTCAAACCTCCTGCTCTTGGGAAAACTTCAGAAGCTGCTTCAGGGTGGACTTTAACTTGGGCAATATTGCTTCCTACTTCTCTTCAGACTCCACTGCTACAGAGGCAGCTGCTGTGCTCTGCCTCTGGGCCATCATCTCTTTTAATTTCTGGATTTCTTTCTGCAGTGCTCCAGCTAGGTCAGCATCACTAAGCTTTCAAGAGAAGGGAAAGTTGGCTATGAAGCTGGCCAGCATCTGGATGGCAGTTTTGTGTGTCAGCCAGATGCCCCATGGTTAAGGCCACCATGCCCTGGAAGTGCATCAGAGAGAGCACCTTCTGCTGCATAATTTGGGTGAAGAGCTATAACATGCAACTCCAGACAAAAGACTTGCCATCGTGCCCATAGGCCTGCAGGGTGTCCAGAAACTGGTCCCTGGGCTCTCAAGCTCCAGGTGGCACCATGCAGAACCTGCAGCACCATCTCTGCCATGGCTGCCGGCATGCCATTGCACTTCATGTAATTCTCTCCAAACATAATCCAGCAGCATGCACGTGCTGGACAGTAGGATCATTGGGACCCACTCTGCTAGCTCTGTCAGGAAGCAGGCAAAGCCCTTGGCCCCTGATGTGTCCTGACTCAGCTGTCCAGTCTCTGTTGCAATCTCTCCCACGATGCTCTTCATTCTGTAATCTGTTGCCCAGATGCTCACAGCTGCCACCAGTACAGGTGTGAGGTGTTCAAAGTGCTGCAGCATCTGGATGATCCTTACAGTGGCACCGAGCATGTGGTTGTATTGTGTCAAGGCCACCCCTAGTAGGTATGTCACAGCTTCCTGGGTGGGGCGGTTCTTCTGGTAAGTGATGGTGGATTCTCCAGAAGGTGGTAGCAGCAGCCAGTAAGCAGACTGACAAATTCCTCTTTGATTACTGAGCAGTTTCACAGGTGGCAGATATCCAACTGGGGGAGCTGTGTTAAGAGCTGAAGAGTTGGTTGATTTTTCTTCTTCCCAGTCAAAATCATGGGCTGCTTGGTTCTGGGATTTCTTATTCTTCCTGCCCACGTCCAGGTCCATAAGGCCTGGCTGGCTGGCCAGTGTCTCGAAGGATTCCAAGAGTCCTATCAGGCCATAGCAGTTCATCTTGAGGGCATTGAGGTGGGCACTTCTATTTGATGCACTCAGAGTTGCATTATCAAGGATGGCTGGAAGCTCCTGGGAGTGGCATGATACCGCTTTTTTCTGGAATTCCAGAGCATCTTCTTTGAGGTCCGGATCTATAGTTCAAAAGTGATGTAAAATATTGTAGATCATATAAGAGTGTTCCAAGATAGCCAGGGGCCTCTGAGCTTTGAAGGAAACCTCAAATGCTTCAAGTTAGGATGGCAGCTGTCTAAGGGACACTACCTGTTGCACAACATACTGACTAACACCTCCATATTTCAATAACTTCTCGGGGGACAAGGGCAGATGGAACTCGTACAGCTGGGGAGACATCCTTCTCTTGCTGGCTATTGTACTGAGCTTCTCTGAACCTCCTCAGATTGTGATTAATTTTGATATGAAAAATCTTTTCAAAAATATGAGATTCCAATTGTTGGTTCTTTGAAGTACTTCCCATGCTGTTTGATTTTTGTTCATGTACTCTTTACCAACTCCTGTGTCCTTAAGGTGTCTACCTACTTTCTCTTCCAGAAGATTTAGTGTTTCAATTTTAATATTTAAATGTTTGGGCCATTTTGACTGTAGTTTTGTGCATGGTGATATCCATAGGAACACTGAGGTTTGAACTCAGAATCATCTCAACGAACTAGATTCCCTATCCTTTCATTAATTGTTTTGAACAAATTCTTGCTAAGTCACTAAGTTGATGAGCATAGGGGCAAAATGCTGACTGTCCTGCCTTAGTCTTACAGTGTGTAGTGCATAGAAGCACAAAACACCATGACCAGCTCATATAAAATTTTTTCATAAGGAAAATAATCCCCCACAGATACCACCACTTAAAGGTTACAGCTCACTTGAGCATCACCACACTGAGTTCGAGCTACACAAAAATTAACTTTTGGGGGACACATTAAGTCTCATCTAAACAATATTTCACTTCACGTGACTTCTTTTTCAAAATTCTTTTTTATTTTACTGATACATTTTGTTGTCTTTTGAGACAGATAAATGATAGAGATAAGTAGATAGATGGATAGATAATAGGCAATTCTAACTGCATGTGATATATTTTGTTTCTTTTTATCCATTCCCTATCCCTCCCTTGAACTCCTCATCCAGTCATCATTCACAAAAGCTTTTTTTCCTATTTTGTGGCATTTGTTTACTTGTTCCCTCTTTTCTTTGTTCTCCATTTCTTGTTCCCCTTTTTGTATGAACATTTTCTTCCCATTTCCCAGTATCCAATATGAATTTTGGGATCTGTTTACACTTTCAGGTTCTCACATCAGAGAACCCATGTGATATCTTAACATGAGTGTCACATTTATTTCACTTAAGAGCGTGGTGTCACAGAGCATCGTTTAGCTAGAAGACTCTCCAACTTACCCTCTTACCCTCACTTCTTGTTTTCTTTGCAAATTAGAGACTATTCAGGTTTCTTTCAAATTCCTGAATCAGGGATGATTTTAAAGGGAACATAGGAAACTTTACATAATAATTCATAAGAAAAATCAAATATTTCTACAATTATTCAGTGAGCACACTGAGAGGTAGTAAAGTGAGGTGACTCAGGGATCAGGATCCAGGCTGCTGTCATTCAGATGACTTATAGTGCTGTGGGTTGAGACAACTGATTCGGCCTGTCTGTGCCCCAATTTCTATCCATAATGGGAAATTTTGTTATGAGATTTAAGATATGCAGTCCATGTGCAGCAATGCCCCACCCAGACACCTGGACCATGAAGGGAGCCCTCCCGACTGCGCAGTGAGCATCAGAACCAAGGGCTGGCACTTAGGATCAGGACTATAGGCCCTTTCCTGCACGCTGTGTCTCAATACACAACTACACTGTGAGAGAATCTTATTACCTTTGGAGGTTATACTTTAAAGATAACATGATGTCTCCCCACTCCAGTATGCTCAAACTCGCCCCAATCTTGAGTGACATTCCATTATATTTTAGACCTAAGAGAACTTTTTAAAACATGTGATTTCTCAGAATTCTTCCCACAAAACTTTTGAAACATAGGGATGATGAAACTTTCTAAACCATCCCTCTGGAACAATTACAACAATTCTTCTTATTGTTACTGATGCTTTGCCAAAAACTAAGCACTTTCAGTTTCACATTCCTCTAACTCTATAAAACAGGTGGCTGTGAGTCACTGTTTTCTGCTCGTGAAAATACAGGAACCAGTCAGAATCTCAGGGTGACATAAGAGCCCAAGGATACAGTCAGAGGCTGAAAAGAGAGAAGCCAAACCATTAGCACTGAGGAGAGCAGGTAAGACCCTGCCTTCCCTTCAGGCAGCCTCTCCAGCTCTGAAGGATCCCTCCTCAGGGAGTCACACCTTCTAATTCTGATGCACTGAGGGCAGGAGTTTTCAAAGGGTTGGTTAGTTTTCTCAAAATCTGTCATGATTGTGAAAAGTTGAAGCTGAAACTTAGATGGGACAGGGAGTTAAATGAAATGCAAATTTTGACATATCCTCAGATCCCCAAGTGCCACCACTGGGCTTGTGTGGAGTGCCCTCCCCCACAGGGGAATGAACTGAGTCTTTCTGTTTAATGGTTTTGAGCAGGAACACTGTCTACTGTGATCTAGTGAGGCTCACTCAGAACTGCTCCTCCTGCAGCTATTCAGGTACTAAGTTACCACAGGGTTGTTGATTTGCAGAAAGAAAGCACAGAAATGAGACTCAGTTGAGCAGCCATTGTCCCTGGTAAAGGCAAAGAGAGAGAAACACTCAGAATGAGAGAGGGAGATCATAAAAGCAGCCTCCTTTCTATAGGCACTCAAACTGCATTTACCGCAGGGTGCCTTCCTTCAGCTCTGGTGTAAATTCAGTGACTTTTTGGGGCTCACGCGCTCATTACCTTCCACCAGCAAATATCAGCTGCCACATTTCACTCAAGGGCTTCCTCTAGAAAAGTCTCACAGTGCAGCCCTCAGGGAGGCCTCCGCTTCCTACAGAATCCTCTGACCTCAGCCCGGTTTTCCTGCCTTCAGGGAGCTCTTGCCCTGACTTCCTTGGCTGCCCCTTGCCTTCTTTCTCATCTCTTCTCTGTAGCCACCTCTTTATACCAGATCCTTACCCCTGCCTCCTCCACTCCTTGTCTTTCTCTCATATTTCTTCTTGCCCTGTTCTAACAAAGATATATGAGCAAAAACAAAAACAGTTAGCAGAAGCCCTAGAAGCACTTTGCTGAAAACATCTTAGGAAAAATCCCTATGTATTCCTATTTCTTTCCCTATTCATAATCCTTATTTCACAGAAAGTTTTTTGAATTCCAGTATTTGCAATTGAGCATTTATATGGCACTGACTTCACTTTTATTCTCTGCGAAGCTCAAGGAGCCCATGGTCAGGCACCAGCCATGCCTGTGCCCCTCCAAATCCTTGCAAGGTCCCTATTTATGTGCTTCTCTGGTCAGCTATTTTCATTAAATTTATGGAAGTAGCATGTTGCTTTCCCTTCTGGGAAGGCAGGGTGAGAAATGTATCCTCATTCCAGTGAAATGAACAAAGCCCCTAGAAAGAGGAACACACTTTAAAATCACTTGGAAATGTCCAAAAGGCAAACATCAAGCCATGAACCATGTACTCAGGAAGGGCTTTATACATTATAAGAATTAATGAACTGATAAATATTTGATTTATTACATATTCCAGGAATGGAAAAAATTTCTTTAAATGATATTGTGCACCATTTATTGTCTCTAATATTTTTTCTAAATTTTTATCTGAATTCAAAAAGAAACTTTCTGAAATAAATTAAATGGAAAATTTGAGTTGTGAGAGCAGTTGAATGTTCATGTAAAACTATTGATACCTTTTTTAAAATTGAACTGCTTGGATAATACTTTCATAACTTCCTCAGCTGATCCAAGTTCTCCCTCATGCATCTTGTTGTTGCACACAGTATTTGTTTGCTCATTCTGGGGAGTTTCATCAATCCAATTCCTCAGCACTGGGGGTCTGCCCATTAGCTCACTTGTTGAAGTGCCTCAGTCTCAGGATGCTGTTGTTCAATCCCCAGACCCTCAGGCCTTACCAGACCTGCCTTAAGGCATCCTGAGCCAGCCAAAAATTAAAAAAAAAATAAAAAAATAAAAATCCATCTCAAGTTTTACTTCACTACAGGCTTTCTTGAAATTAAATTTGTGTTGAGAAGGCTCATGTAATCCTGATGAGTTTACCTTTAACCTGATTTCTTTGCTTTCCTTTGGTAAATTTCAATATTCTCTCTTCTTGGTAGACAAGTGGGATTTTTACTAAGGTTTGTCATGAGGACTTTGTTTTTGTATCACAGTTATTTGACATTGTAATTGTCACTTATGTGTCTCTTGGAATTTTTCTTCATGCTAGAAAGTTTTCTGTTATGATTTCCATGAAGATGTTTTCTTTCATGTGTGCTCCTTTCTATTTTTTCTCTAACTAAATCCAATTAGCATTAAGTTGTCATTTCAGTGTCATCTAGGAACTATAGGGTGTATTTTGTTTTTATCTAAAACTTCTCTGAATAATTCATTACATTTTTCAGAATAACATAATATATAATTAATTAAAGAAACATAGTCGATCATGGAACATTGCAATAGAAAGAAAAATAGTATAAAATTTTGGACTCATACATCAGTAAACTTATATATTAATATGTATAATGGAAATCAAATCTTCAAAGCTACTTGGGACTGATGTAAACTCTAACCAAGAAATATTCATGTCTCACTTAGGAATTTTGAGTCTACAATATCTTATTTCCTCTCTCCATTCCTCCCAGGTACCACCTGTAGGTCCTCAAACTTGGTGTCCAGTAGCTTTCCTATTTTCACTGTAGTATTCTCAATCTTCCTTTCTCTCTCTTATAATCCTCCCACATATGAAGTTTCATCTTAATCTATCACTGTCTTGTTGATCTTATTTTTTGATATGAGCATTTAAAATTGTAATCTTGATAAAACATACATAGCATGTAATAGTAACTTAATAATTTCAACAAAATAGTTCATTAACATTAAGTATATTTACATGATGTGTAACAAATCTCTGCACATTTTATTTGGAAAATTAAAGCTACTTCCATTAAGCCCAACATCCATTTTCCTGTCTTCTGTCTTCTCAGCCCTAGGTAACTATTTGATACCTAATTGACAGCTCTGTGAATC